TGGAGCCTGCTCACCCGATCGGTCACCAGCCTCTTCTCCATCCGACTCAGGAAAGACCGGCCCCCGCCGTCCCCACTGAAGGGGTCCTCCAGGGAGCTCACAGCTGGTGCCCGGGAGCTGGACGTGCTGCTCACGGTCCACCTGAAAGTCTGCAAAGCCCTGCTGCAGGTGGGGTGCTGGGGGGCTTGCTGGGCCAGGGGACCCCTAGGAAAGAGGCCGATCTCTCAAGTGGTGGGAGCCCGGCACAGCGACAAGGCTCAGGTCCCCTGTGGAAGGTGCCGGCCAGAGCCTGGATGGGCAGTTGGGTGGCCCTGTGTAGCTTGCCCCTGAACGTACACGACACATCTGTAGATGCAGGAAGCTGAGTCCAAACTGGTTCCACCAGAAGGGAGATTTCAGGGGGCTCCAGGGCCACCGTGGCGGGCTCTGCCCTTCCACTCTGCTTCGTGAGGTGGGTGGGCTGCACTTTTGGTGGCAAAGGTGGCCCCTGGCAGCTTAGCCTCCTCTTAAGTGGCTCAGGTGAGTGAGTCAGGGAGCTGCGGCTGAGGAGGACAGGACGGGCGGGGCACCAGGGGAAGGCGAGCCAGTCCCCGTGGTGACCAAGGCACCACACGCCACCTCCAGAGACTGGCCTTCCCCAATCTGCCGAGGATGGTGCAGGACTGCCTCCTGGAGGAAGCAGCCCAGCAAAAGCAGATTCTGGAGACGCTTTCTGACCTTGATTTTGACAAGGTCAGCAACGCGACATCCATTGAGGATGGTAAGGAACTGTCCCCTGCCACGGGCTGCCTCTGGCTGGCATGTCCCGAATCCTTGCCCCCTCCCCACACCCAAAGCAGACAGCAGCCTGGGGAGGGTGGGGATCAGAGACGCCCCGAGGGCGGGTGGGCCACCTGGATCAGCTGGCGCACACGCCACCACCCGGCCTCTGGGCAAGGCTTCGGTCGGAGTCACGGCCTCTCTGTGTCCTGGGGAGGCCACCGCCCAGCGTTCGGGCCGTAATCCCCGGGCACATTCAGGGTCCACGGCGTGCCGCAATGGCAGCTGTGACCCCAGTTCACCTCTGACCTCAAGGACGGCTCCCTTGTGAGGCCCGTTCCTTGTCCACAAGGAGGTGCTGGTGACAGCTGCTCCTGGTGTTGTCACGCCACCCCTGACTTCCCCGACCTCGGTGCTGGAGGAGGGCCCTCGGGGCTCCTGTGGCTTGTTCTTGCCACCAGCCACTCAGGCTGGGGAACCGCTCCCAGTCATTCCGCAGGCCTCCCACGGGAAGGGCTGCCTGGCGCTGTGGCACGGGTGCACCGGGCCCGGCAGCATCCTGTCCTGCCCCGCCACGACGCTCCTGGGCCAGCTCAAGAGGACCTTCCTGCACAGAGTCCGAGGGAAATACCCAGGACAGCTGGACATAGGTAGTCCTCCCTCTCGTCCTTGCCACCCAAGGCTGGGCCTGCCGCATGGTGACAGGGGCTGTGTCACCCTCCCCCCTCCCTGGTCTTCATGGCTGGGCAGGGGCCACCTCAGCTTGGTTATGAGCACCCTGCTTTCACTGGGAGGGCAAGGGCTCCCCAGACGCACTTCTGAGCAGCCGTAGCCCCGAGGTGCATGCAAACACAGCGGGTTGCCCATTATCCCAGGACACAATCCAAGCCTCCCACCAGAGCCTTCAAGAGATGAGGTCAGGCTTAGAGGAAGGTGGGCAGGTAAGGTCTGATCAAGGTGCCTTGAAATGCAGGTTGGGCCCCTCCCCGGAGTGCAGAGCTGCAGCATTTTTCTCTGTTGACCAGGTGATGAGTGACAGTTGTATCCAGGCAGTGGCTCTGGGCTGCTTACTGATGGGCAGAGTCCCCGGCCCTGCCTCTGGTCTGAGCCCAGGGCTCAGCCACGCACCAAGGCTGTGGGACCCAGGGCCTGTGGACACAGCTGGGCACACTCTTTCCCCATGGGCACTGGCGGTGCCGATAGGGAGCCTTGTAACGGAGCTGGCTCTGCCTGCAGAGGCCAGCCAAGGTCTTGGTGTCTCCTCACGGCCCCTTCCCTGTGGCCAGTGTGCCGCAGGCTCCTGGAACAGGTGGTCAGCTGCAGAGGGTTGCTCCCCGAGGCTGGGCTCCTGGAGCGACAGACTGTCACCTGGTTCCAGTTTCACAGCTACCTGCAGAGACAGAGCGTCTCTGACCTGGAGAAGCACTTTGCCCAGCTCACCAAGGAAGGTAGGGGCCAAGCTGGGCAGCCAGGGTCTCAAACCAAGTTACAGCCGAGGAGCGTCCATGGGTCCTCTGCCCTGGCTCTCGAAAGCCAGCCAGTTTCCCAGGCTACAGCTCAGGTTCTGCGACTTCCCCCTCTAGCTACTGTTTTGAGGTCCCAGATTTATTGAGATGCCACATTCGGCTGACACGGAGAAATCAAGTCCAAAAGAAGGTGGCTTTAAAAGGTGGAGGGAGAAAAAAGATGGGAAGCCGGTGTCCTGGTGCATGCCAGGAGGAGAGGCAGGAGGAGGGAGAGCCTGAGTTCAAGGCCAGCTTCAGCACCTTGGGCAGCCCCGTCTCACACAAGAAGAGCACAGTGCAGACGTCAGGGCCGGGGACGGCGGCAGTGGGCTGGCTCAGTACCCAGAGTGGGGCTGTGGTGTCTTTGACTCAGGGTGTACCTGACCCCTGCTAGAAAGCCTTCCCAGGTTCCGGGAGGTCCCTTTTGCAAGGTGCCCAGACAGGGCCTGCTGGGGACGCCTCGAGTTCACAGCAGCTGAACCTCGACTCCCCCCTCCGCCCCCAGTCACGCTCACCCAGGAACTGCACTGCGCAGGGCGGCTCAGGACCGTCAGGAAGCTGCGGGGAAAGCAGCTGGGCCTGCTCCAGCCGCTGCCCCAGACCTTGAGAGCCTGGGCGCTGCTGCAGCTGGACGGGCCCCCACGGGTGTGCAAGGCGGCCAGAGCTCGCCTGGCCAGCGCAGCCAAGAACAGGAGCTTCCGGGAAAAGGTGAGGCGTCGAGGAGGGACAGCCGGGCCCTGGCCGGGGCGGGCGCGGGGCTTCAGTGTTCTCAGAGACACGTGCGGAGTGGGTGGCGGGGCTGCAGTCCTGGGAGACTTGGGCTTCGGGATGGTCCCAGGAGGCCGTGTGTGATCGGGGCTGGGGAGGCCAGGCCTCCAGAGACCACACCCCGACGGCCATCTGCTTCTAAAGCAGCGCCTCAGTCCGGTCTCCGAGGAGGCCGCACACTGCGCGCCTTCAGAGTGCCCGTGGCCATCCCCACCTACTAGCCAGTTGGGGTTCACCTGAAAACCAAGATGGGACCCCCTGCCTTTGTGGTCCTAGGTCTGGGACTAGGTCTCTTTCAGGCAGCAGCCCGAGGTGGGTGGGAAGGGTGACAGGGGCCTATTCTGTACCTGGGCCTCGCTCCAGGCCGGAGAGCGAATCTCACGGCCTGGCAGCCCACGGTCCTTCCTTGAGCACATGCACCTGGGGTTGCTTTTACTCTCTGTCTGGGGACTTCTGAAGCACAAAGGACAACAAGGTAGGGAAACCCCCACACGCTGCTGCCCGGGCCTGACCTGCCAGGGCCAGCCCCCGCCCACCCACTCCCCGTGGTCCAGCAGCTGCCCACACATCTGACTGACCTGTGCGAGCGGAGGCCCAGCCAAGACGGGGGTTCTTTAAAAACCTTGACTCCAATAGCATCACACGGTCGGAGCCACCAGAGAGCACCCCTGACGTCGCAGGTCCAACTCCCAAGTCTCTGAGGGGTTTCTGGCTAACCAGGGTCTCCAAGAGGTGAGCAGATGTCCTCAGCTGACGTCGCTCAAATTTCACTTCATGTGAAGGCCCCACCTCTTTCCTCTGGAGATCACGTGTCGATGGCACTGGGCTGTCCCACGAGGCTGCGGGCACGGCGCGAGGATCATGCGCTCTGTCTTGTGCTGCCCCTGGACCAGCAGCTGGCCCACGGCCCAGGGCTTGGGATGTCCTGGGACTGTAACAAAGGCCTCTGCAAGGTGGCAGCCCCTTGGAGGTGTCTTGAGTGGGGTCGCTGATGGCCCTGTCCCACCCCCCCCCCACCCCGCCCCCCCCCCCCCCCCAGGGGTGGAGAGGGCAGCCCCGGGCGTTTCCTCACTGCTGTGCTCTAGGAGGCGCCGGGGCCTGCCTTGGGAGGAGGGCTCTGGATGCTTACCCAGCTCCCCGCTTCCCAGGGCAGCCGTTTACTTACCTCTCAACTAGGAGCTGGGTGGAGGCCAGGGCCTCGCACGTGCTAGGCCTGTGCTCTCCCACCCAGCCCCACCCAGCCCACGACTGCCACGTGCAGCTGCCTCGGTGCCAATGTCTCTGGACCAGGAGGGCAGGCTCACTGGTCCTAAGGTCGCCCTCGCAGATGGGGATGCCAGGTGCCCCCGGTCAGGCACGTCCCCACCTGCTTAGTTCTAAGTGACCCTCACAACACTCTGTGAAGCAAGGGCCAGGTTTCCCTGTAGCTGGGCTGAGTTAGGTCCACAGAGGCAAAAAGACGTGGCCATGTTGTGTGGCCGAAGGGGACAGGGTCAGAGTTGTGGCTGGGAGAAGGTGACGAGGAGGACAGACACCTTTGCCTCTGGCCTGGGCAGCAGCCCTGGAGGACACCTTGTCACTTCGGTGCTCTGAGCCGGCCCACGGCCCTGTGCTGTAGCATCTTAGAAGCTGGCCATTCCCAAGGCCTCTCAGACACGAGGAGACAGACAGACGGCGTTCCTCACCACCGTCAGTTCAGGGGTCAGTTTGGGCAGCCGAATTAGCCCTGCAGCCTACATCCTGTGACCGTACGCCTGGCCCGGGGACGGATGGCGCCTGGGTTTTGTTGAGAACGAGCCCCGAGGCCTGCACCTGCCCCCTCTGCTCACGGGCCCTCTCCCCCAGGCTTTGCTCTTCTACACCGACGCCCTGACCCAGACTGACGCCAGGCTCCAGCAGGCTGCGTGCATGGCCCTCCAGCAGCTCAGGGTGAGTGGCCCGTCCCCACTGAGGTCCCACAGGAGGCGGGGGGTGGGGTGGGGGTGGTGGTGCTGAAGTAATGAACCTCAAAACGATTTCACTGGGACCAAAAAGGTGAGGGTCACCGCCAGCAAGGGCACCTGCCGAGTGGCTTTAGAGGAGAGCGGAGGCCCCAGACCCCTAGTGGGCACGTACTGGCCGTGGGCAAGGATGCAGGCGCCGCCAGGGACTTTTGGAGCCCTTGGGTTATGTGTCTTAACGTGTTGGGTTTGGTTTTTTGGTGGGGCAGGGGATTAAACCCAGGGAATCCCACAGCCTTATATGCTTAAAAATTCTCAATTAACAGATTTTAAGGTCCACTAAACTTATTTAGAAGGAAGAGAATGTCAAAAACGAAAATGATCTTGGCTGCACTGGCCAGGCGAGCTCTGGCCGCCTTGCACACCCGTGAGTGCCTGTCCAGCAGAAATGGCTGTTGACATTTGGGGTATTCTTTTTTCTGGGGGTGAGCGATTAGGAATGCTGGTCACACGGAGCATGGCTTGAAAAGGGGCCACACGGAGTGTTTTATGGTGGACCTGGCGCACCTCAGAATTCTGCAGGGAGGTTTGGCAAGTGTACCCTTCGTTTAACCTACTCTCCCACTCCAGGCTATAGAAAACAGAGTGTTTTAAAAGCGAAAAATTCAGGGGCTGGAGATGTAGCTCCGAGGTAGAGCACTTGCCTAGCACGTGTGAGGCATTGGGTTTGATTCTCAGCACCGTATATAAATAAGTAAATAAAATAAAGGTCCATCAACATCTAAAAAAAAAAAACATTAAAAAATAAAAACCCACTTTAAAAGTCATAATGTTGGGCCAGGGCTGTGGCTCAGTGATAGAGCACTTGCCCAGCATGCGTGAGGCCCTGGGTTCGATCCCTGGCACCACATACACTAAACAAATAAAATAAAGATATTGTGTCCATCTACAACTACAAAAAAAAAAAGTCATAATGTCACTATGAGTGTCTTGTGCATCAAGTTTTTAAAACCGTCTGGGTTCTGCGTCACCTGAGGCTGGACTCCCCAGAGACCCGAGTCAGCTCCCCGCTCACTGCTGCCATGTGCTTGGGCCTTTGAAAAGGCCTCACAAAGACAAGCTCTGAGCCTCTCTCTGGCAGCTCTCAGGGCTGAAGAGAGGCACTTCCCAGGGGGCCTCCAATGAGCTACAGCCACAGAGACCTGGAGGCCCCGGGACTGTGCCGGGGCGGTGTGCAGGGCTGCAGAGGGGTTCTACCTGCAATTTAAAGTGTCCCCTAGTAGGTCTTTATTCTCTTATCCTCCAACAGGGCATCGAAAGCATCGATCAGATTGCCAGCCTGTGCCAGTCTGACCTTGAGGCCGTGCGGGCTGCAGCCCGGGAAGCCACACTGTCATTCGGTAAAGTGGCATCAGAGGTCACATGTGGCATGATGGGGTTCCCAAGGTTCTTGGTGAAGTCGTGCAAGCGGTGCCAGCCCCAGCTCTCAGAGCAGAACAGCACCTGGGAGGGCACATCATGGGCCTGTCACTGCCCGGGTGCAGGGCCACCTCCAACTTACCAGCGTCCTGCCTGAGGCAGGAGCCCCTCCTGGTGGAGGTGGAGAGACGCGTTTTATTGTCCTCTTAAACTCTGTATGATTCTTGGTGAGCGAGAGCCAGAGGCAAGGCAGGGCTGCAGCCTGGCCAACTGTCCCAGAGACTGGCTGACTCGGGGACAAGGCTCAGTCCAGCAGGTCACCAGGTTGAGAGGTCCCCAAGCACTCCTGCCCCTGTGTAGGACCCACGTGGCTTGGAAGAGAGGGTCACGGAGGCAGGAGACAGCCGATGACAGTCACCCTCTATTTCAGGTGAAAAAGGACGCTTAGCTTTCGAAAAGATGGACAAACTTCGCTTAGAACAAAGAGACGGCTTTGGCCAGGAAGCAGAAGTTGAAATTACAGTATTTTAAAAAGCCTCAGCTGAGGAGCTCACATCTGGAATTTTGCCCCCTGTTGCTACGCAGCCCGACACAGTGCCTGAGCTTTGCAGGGGGCATACTGGGTGCCCCCCACGAATGTGAGCTGGTCCAAGTGGCTGCTGAGCCTCGGACTACTGCAAACCCTGGGGCCCAAGTGGCGCTTTTACAGAAGCAGAAGCCGCTGGTGTGCTGTGCGGCCAGGGCTGCGGCCTCAACCGCACACTCCGCTTCTGCCTTTGAGAATCTGACCCGCCCCAGGATACAGAAGCAGGTGGCCATGGACAAAGGTGCCAAGGCCAGGCCAGGCGAGGTTCTGCCTGGAGGACTCCAGGTAGACACGTGTGTGGAACGTGCAGCTTCCTACGTGTCCGCTGGCTCGGTGCTCCTGGCTCAGAAAATCCCGGGGCTGAGGGGCCGGGGGTGAGCCAGGTGGCTGACCATGCTACCAAAGCCTGTGGTGGCTCAAGTCATTTCAACAGCAGCTCGCGTCACCTTGGTGAGCAGGGCAGGTGGGAGGCTTGAGGCCAGCACCTCTTCGCCACTCTCAACCCGACGTGCGGAGCCGACAGCGGCTGGCCGGCCACGCCTGGTTTTCACCACGTCCAACAGCACAAAGGAGGGCAGACAAGACCTGGCCACGGAGCCTGGGGCGTCACGAGCTTTGGTCACACAGGTCAAAATGGAATCCAACGTTTGAAGCAAGTCGACCTGAGGCCTATTAAATAAATGGCTCCAGCAGCCACAGCTGGTGTGGAAGGACCCCGGCAAGGGCTGCTTTAAGAGGGAAAAGTAGCCCCCCCCCCCGACTCTGTTAAAAACACACAAAACCCCGTGTCCTGAGATGTGTGTCAACCATGTGGTGAACTGTGGGGTGTGACTGTCCTGTCAGCGCGGCACGGACAGCTTTGGAATGTTCTCATTTAAAATTCCTGGATAGATATTGTGCTTTATTTTTTATTTTATTTAAGTCAGTATTTATTTGCTTTGTTCATGTGCTCCATTTTTTGAAATTTCAATTAAAAAGAAAAACTGTTTTAATGGCTATTACACTTTACCCTCCAAAGCAGACACTGTCACTTCCCAGAGGACTGCCTGCTCCTGGCGCCCTCAGCAGGAGGGAGTGTCCTGGACTGTGGAGGAGTGGCCTGGGCGCAGGTTCCGCTGGACACCACCCTAGGGCCTCTCCATGATTTCCATCTCTCGAAGGTTTCCGCTGTGCCCTCTCCTGTGGGCACTTTGCGTGTGGCCTTTGTCCTGCATTTCACCCCGTGGACTTCCGCCCCAGAGTCCTACGTCATCCTCCCCACAGTCTTCTACCTCCTCCACGACCACATGCCCTTCTTCATATCTGAAGTGGGCGGCGGGCAGAGCGCTGCCTTTCAAGCCCCTGGGCTTCCGTGGGCATTCTGTGGCTCAGGACCCGTCCTGTTGGTCCTGTGGCGGGCCACAGTGTAGACCCCGACTCCGTAACCAGCTTTGAGATGGTCAGGGAGCCCTGAGGGAGGTCAGGGAATTTTTGTGCCAGTGCTTCGCAACACTGTGCGGGTCTGAAGTCACTTGGAAATAGGAAGTTAAACAAAAAGTCACCATAGGGACTTTGTATTGTTTAGTTTTGTCCATAAAAGGGGGCCACAGAGATCTCAGACACCTCATTTTCTTTCCAAGTCAGTTCTGGATCAAATGTGACTTCACACACCTACAGAGACACAGGAGCCACTGTGTGTGACAGGCAGTTGGCTAAGGGGACAGTTTCAGGGCAGTCCCCAGGCCCTGTGTGTCCAAAGGGTGGGTTTCTAAAGAGCCAGGCAGGGGCTCGTGGCGGCGACCAGGCTCATCAGCGAGCGGAGCTCCCCCCACCCAGCGCCGGGGCTGGCCACCCCGGGGACCACATCTGCGTCGCACCAGCGGGAATGAAAGAAACAGCGGCAGCCCTGGTTCAGGTGCATTAAGCAAAGAAATGGGAGGCACCAAATCCAAGTTCTTTAGAAAAAGGTTTTATTATTGCAACTAAAATGCAAACCCATCATTTATATGGCAAGTTGGAAAACTGTACAGTTTAACAGTTCTGTGAGGTCACAGAAGACCCTGAGACACGCCCTCCCCCCACCCGGTCATGCAGCCACATATACACACCTGAAAAGGTATTGTAACCAAACACCTCGCTTTTTTTTTGTTTTATTTTTTAGTTTTGTAAAAATGGTTTATTCCACAGCCATTGTCAAAAATAATGGCCTGATGAGTAAATGTTGGCTTAAGGCAAATAGCAGAGCAGTTCACTACCTCCCTAACCTACGCTAACAGACGGAGGCCAGCTGTCCTCCGCGGACGGAGGCCAGCCAGTCCGCCGTCGGCAACGGCTACTGTACATACACACCCAGCTACACACAGACGCGGACTGTGCGACAAGCCCAGCCGAGAAGGCGCAGCCTGGCCCTCAGCCTCACCCACGCCCCACAAGGCTCTGCGCCGCGCCTGAGTGTCCCTCAGGATCGCTCTGCGCCGGTTTCTCCCCGTGAAAGGCAAAACGTGAAAATGCTGGCGAGAGCAGCTCAGAGCCACAGCTGCCTTTTTTCTTATTAAAAAAGCCACCAAATGTGGAGGTCTCAGTCCCCCTTGCAGGAAGAGTCGTGAGCACCATCAGTCCCAAGGGGCTCCGGGGGGGCGGGGGCAGACGCCCCCTTCAGCAGGGTGCCCCAGGACGGAGATGCAGCAGGCAGCTGGCTCCAAGGGCCGTCGCTGGGCTGCTCCAAGGAGGGCGGCTCCCGCGGCTGCCTTGCTTCCAGTCCCCATCTGCTCATCCCACGGTGGGGGCCCTGATGCCTAAGCGTCCAGAGCGTGAGGTGTGAACAGGGCTGGCCATAGCCTTGGAATGTCTGAGTTACAGCGGGCCCAGCACGACCAGGACAGGCCGGGCCTCACCAGGAAGTCATCAGAGAGTCATGCCAGGAATTAGGCCCACATCGGCTCCTGGGAACATCCTCGGAACATCATCGCTGTCTTGCTAAAGGCGGCTCCTTCAGCACCAGCCTTAGGAGCCACAGCCACGTAATGGTCAGGTCATGCAAGGGAGACTGCAGCAGACGGCACGTCAGGAAGCAGGAGGCTAAGGTTCTGTTCCCAGCCCGCGGTACTTCATGGGACACGGAAGCCCTTACATGCACTCTAATACACACAGGGAAAGTGGTGACCGAGAACAAGGACCTACCAGGTAACGGGGAGGAGAGCGCGGGGACTAGGTCATCTCCCACTGTGACTCTTACTAAATACCAAGTGCTCAGCAGCTACCACGCCAGCGCTGCCCTCACTGACCCAGTCGCTGCACCCGCTGCTCACGGGCGTCCTCCCGCCAGCACTGGTCTGAGGCGGCAGGCCCAGGGCAGTGTCTCGCGCTCCCAGAACTACCTGAGGATTGATTTATTATTGTACTTTTTGATAAAGCCCTTGATGCAAGGCTGACATCAAAAGTTTTAATACATTATTGGTTTAAGAAAATGCTAGTGCAGTATGGACGCCTTTGGAAAAATTAAAATAAATATGGAGCGGAGAGGCTACTCCACGGGGCTGCATGGAAGCTTCTGGGGAGAATGGTGCATGTCGCTGGCCTGGGGTGCACCAAGAGGGAGCGCTCGGGTGGGGCGAGCCAGAGACGGGCACAGGCCGCCACCCCTCCCTGCCACCAGCATGGTCCCCTGCTTTGCTCTCTTCAGAAGTGGGTTGGGATGTGGTACTCACAGGAAGGAGGGCAGGGAAAGAAGAAAGAGGAGCAGGGTGCAGGGCGCAGGGCGAGGCGCGGCCTGGGATCTCCTACAGAACAGCGCCCTCTGCACGCGCTCCACGCTGCCCGCGGCCCTCACCCACCAGGCGCCTAAAGTCGTGGTGGGGGCGCAGAGAGCAGAGGTGGACAGTGGGTGGAGGAGGCCCAGGGAGGTCGGGCTGCTGCTGAACGGGAACTGGAATGAAGCCAAGTAGGCAGAGGAGCCCCGGGCACAGCCAGAGCTGTCTGACTCGTGCACGCCCCCCGCCACCCCACCTCAGAGGGCACCATGATTCAAGGGGGCCTGGGGCTTTTGTTTTTAATGACAGGGCCCTCCCACAAATCACCCCCAAGGAAAAGATATTTGTATTTTGCTAATGCAACATGCACTCAAAGACGGTCACCTGGAAAGAGGTAAAATATTTAAAAGGATAAGAAGGTCACGTGGGGGCAGTTTCCAGGGTCTCTGCGCCCCCCTCTGACCAGGGTGGGCCTCCCGCAGCACCTCCTCCCACGTGAGCGGGAGCCAGGGCTGAAGTGCCAGCAGTCCGACCCAAGGCAGAGGCTGCGGGAAACCCATGTACAGGGACGGGGTGACGAGGGCCAGCAAGTTAGCCAGATGACGGCCACACAGAGGAGCAATGGGGAAACGAGCCGCGGAAAACCAGCAGGGACACCCTGAGCAAGAGCAGAAGCTTTCTGGAGACGGCCTTGTGTTGTCTCCTCTCAACACAGGGAGGCTGGCGGGCACTGGCGGGCACTGGCGGGCGCCTGCGGCCCAGAGCGCCCACACCACAGCGCCCGGCCCTCTCCTCCAAGGGCATCTACATTCGTAAAAGTCTGGGATTTTTTCCCTGGGAAACCAAATATAAATTGTGAATCTGATTATACCGCCCAAGGGTATGAGGAAGTTTTGTAAGTGCCTAGTCTTCTTTCTTCCAGAAATAACCAAAAGCTGCTTTTTATAAAGGTTAAAAACAACAATGTGTTGTAATTCTATTTTTTTCAAAAATAAATGAACCAAAAAATAAAAAAAATAAAATAAAATAAAAAAAATAAAGACAGAGAAAGAGAGAGAGAAAGACGTATTTGGCATTTTCTCTACTTACTCCTGAATAGTTGAGGCCCTGAGATTAGACTCTATGTCCTTGGGACCACAGGGCTCCTGAAGACCCCAGTGCACAACCCTTCCCTCTTCTCCTCAGCCCTTGGCAGTTCCAGCCTGAACCAACCCTCATCTGCTTCTTCTGAGACTGGCTCAGACGCTCCACAGAACCGAATCCCACACTGGGCTGGTGGCCAGTGCTTCCCGCCACGCGCTTGTCGCCAGCACCTCCGTCAATGAAAACATACCCTGTAGCAGAGGTACGCGCCGGCCGTGAGGACCGTGGCCATGCACATGTTGACCAGAAAGGGCTTCCAGTGGGTCAGCGTGGGCGCCGGCGCTTCCTCCTCCTTCCTGGGTGGTGCCGGCTCTGCCTCGGCAGGGAAGGCCGCCTGGGTGCCCCTCGGGCCGCGGCCACGGATCCGACTTCTGACTTCAGTGTCTTGACTCGTGCTGGGGACCAGAAGGGACAGGAGTGGTTACTTGCCTCCAGGGAACGGGTGGCTGGACACTATGTTAGGGAGAGATTTTAGACAGAAACAGGCTCCCTCTTCAGAACCCAACCAGCTTCCTGCTGCTTGGCTGGAGGGCCAAGTCAGAGCAGCCACTGGCCTGAAGCCCCCTGTCCCTGCCACCCAAGTGCCTCAGACAGCACCTGCGTCAGGGAGGCCCCGTGGGGTGGGGCGGGGTGGTTATGCCTGCTGCGTGTGCACCCTGCTTTCTCAGGCACTGGAACTTCTGTGCCAGGCCACATCAGGGCACCCAGCTCTCCTTCCTCAACAGCTGCAGAATACCCACCCCCACCCCTGCACAGCGAAGGAGCATGATGGCCCTAATCCCCAAACAGGTTGTGGCCATCTCCAATTCTACTGCCACAAATGGCCACAGTGACCTCACCTGTCCGCACACTTGGACACTGCTGCAGGGCCCCTTTCTAGACGCCCCACTGCTGGTTAAAGTAGCCACACATCTTAGCATCTCCCTCCAGGAAGCAGGCACCCGGGCACTGCCACTGGTGTCCCAGGAGGGGGTACTCCCGCTCACTGTGCAGCTTCCTGCAGGGCAGTGCCAGCTCCTAGGCGGCTTCCCTGGCACCTCAGCTTCCCTGGGTTTTCCTTTCCAAACAAGATGGCCTGCAATGCAGCCCAGGGGCCACCATCTGGCTTTGGCTCAGTCGGCCACCACGTCAACAGTGCTCACGATGCTGGGGTCGACATAGGAAGCAAAACGCTCCAGTGAATTTCAATAAATTGAGCCGAGATGCCACCAAAAGATCAGGTTCCCCGGAGCTCTACCCTGGGGACACCAAGCTGGACACCGCCTTTCAGGACCTGCCAGAAGCCTGGAGGTGGACATGGGGTGGACAGTGTCCTCACAGGGCAGAAAGGCCCTCCCTACTCATTCCACTGAGCCCACTGCCAGTGAGTACCACCAGGTGGTGCCAGAACCCTGTGAATCTGCCTGTTCCCAGGGCCATTCGGGGCCCAGAGAGGCCTCCTCCATCCAGGAGAGGGCAGCGTGCAGGTCCAGCAGCCCCACTGCCGAGAGGAAGCGCAGCCACAGGTTTCAGTACGTGCCTGTCCCAGGAACGGCAGGGCCCGCTGCTGCCCAAGCCAGCCTCTCACAGTACCTGTCCGTGTTGTGGGAGGCCCTCAAGGGGGTCCTGGTCTCCTCCTTGATGGGGCCATCTTCATCCTCCTCAGCTTCGTCCTTCACCCACTGGTGGTTCGAGAAGAACTCCTTGCGTTTCCCGTTGTGGGGCTCCAGGATTCGCTTGGGCGGCCGGGGAGGTGGGGGCACGTGCTCAGGTGGGGGCTCCAGGTCCTCGTGGGACAGCTCCTTCCACTGGTCCTTCAAAGAGCGGCAGGAGGAAGGCCTGTCAGCCTCGCTCTGCTGCTGTGTCAGGAAGCCCGCCCGCCGCAGTAAGCAGAGGCGCTGGCCTGGCACGGGGCTTGCGCACGGGGCTCGGGCTCCCTGGTCTGCAGCCAGGCCCTTGGAAGGTGAAACCGTTTGAAAATCCAGCCCGTTCCTCCTGCCCTGGCTCTCTGGGGGAGCACCTCAAAGGCAGAGATTGGAACTCGGCAAAACTTCAACAACTTTCTAGCTATTTTAAACACAAAGGGCAGCTATTTCCTCTGACACCTGCCAGTGTTCGCACTTCACAGCTGACGACCTTCAAAGACAACCAGGGGAGGGGGGCCCACAGCTCAGTGGTGGGACACTGGCCTGCGTGCACAGGGCCTGGTTCCGCCCCAGCACTGCCCACGCACGCGCACAGAGACAAACACTAAAGCGCAGCCGACCTGCACTGAAGAGTCTCCCATGATGAACTTGGCGCCTTCGATCACGGCCAGGTAGGAGAAGCGCAGCTGGTCGGCGGTCTGGATCAGCCCCATCCGGAACTTCCTCATTTCCAGCAGCACTTTCTTGATGTCCACAGAAGAAGGGTCTTTCCTTTTGTCCATCTGACCGTCAGAGAGGACACAGGATTCAGCCAGCCCCACTCCCCGGGGTGGGAGTGCTCTGGTTTGCCCCGGGGAAATCGCCGTGGGGCAGGCAGAGGAGTTCCAGAAAACATGGAAAAATGGGGGAAATCTGGGCCCTGTGGACGGGGACTGGGGGGGTAGAGAACGAGGGGGAAGGGTGCTCCGGCTCTACCTGGGCCCACGGTGAGATGGGAACCCTCTGCGAACAGAGCCCTGAGGGACAAAGCCACCCCAGGGGTGTTACAAAGCCAAGCTGCCCTCACAGGCAGTGGCCGGCAGCTGTGGCCGGGCTGGGGCCGGGTGGGCTGGGGCGTCCAGGGAGCCTTCCAAGACCTTCTCACCAGCAGGAGGCAGGTGTCGGCCAGGCAGAAGGTCCCCGACCTGCCGATGCCGGCGCTGCAGTGCACCACGATGGGGCCGTGCTCCGGGCTGAGCGAGCCCGACTCACGAACTTTGAAAAGGAAGTTCAGGAAGGAGGCTGGTGACTCGGGGACCCCGAAGTCAGGCCACGTGGTGTAGTGGAAATGTAAGATCTCCCGAGTCTCTTGATTCTGAAAGATAAAAAGTCACATGACAGTGAGAAGAGTGTGGAGAAACCCACCAAGCCCTCTGCAGCCTCCCGCCTGCTGACGAAGCGCAGAGCCCTGGGCCACCAGGCACCGGACGTAGACCTGTGGGCTGCCTCTGGGATGGCTCAGCCCCACCTGCTTCCCCCAAGGCCCTGCCTCCGCTGCCTATGTGGATACAGCCACCTTCTCTGGCCTCGCCAGCCACAGTGACGCGGCACTGCTCTGCCACCCGCAGTGACTTCATCAGAAAGCTTTTGTGCTTCCTGCAGAGGGTGAAGAAGTAACTGCATGTGTGGGCACCAGGCTGGGCCACCCGGGCCTCGAGGCTTCTGGGTGTGTCAAGGGATGGTCGTTTTAGAGGGGGATCGTGGCCGTGTGGAGCCCAGCACCCAGCTCAAGAGATGCGCCCACTCTTCCCAGTTTCCAGAGGTGAGAGGCCCTGCTCAGAGCTGCTGCAGGAACCCAGGCCCTTGTCCCAAAGTGCTCCCCCTCTCCCAGCCTTCCAGTAACCACCAAAGGGTGCACAGCATGCGCCACGTGCCAGCCCCGTGCAGGCACGATGGGCCCAAGACCCGGCTGCTCTCCCAGAGATGCCAACTGTGACTGTGCCACAGGAAGCCATGGGGCTGGCATCTAGCTGCCAGGTCCACGGCGTCTCCTGCAGAGACACCTTCACATACGAGAGCCACACGGAGCCCATCTACTCTCCTCCCGTGAAGAGCATCTCCATGTAACTAGAACAGGACTATTTTGGCAGATGAGAAAAGCACTTAAAATATACTTTAAAAATGAGGAAGAAAGCACGCCCAAGCCAGGCTTCCTTAGTCCCCAAAGAGGTGTGGGCCCCGGGGCCTTCCTCCGCCCGCTGCTCTGCTGGAGGGACTCCATTCTCCTTCGGGTCCCGTTGGTCACCCAGTGCTAAGAAAGGGCTTTTTATTTTATTTTTTTACTTTTTGCTGCAGTGGGAAGGGGACCCGGGGCTGTGCACACGCTAAATAAGCGTTCGACCCGAGCCCCATCCCAACCCTTTAAATTTTTTATTTTGGGACAAGGTCTCACTAAGTTGCCAAGCCTGGCCTCATACTTAGGACGGTCCTGCCTCAGCCTCCTGAGCCGCTGGGACTGCAGGTGTGCCCGCCTGGCTTCTCAGGGCTCCTGAATAACACAGTGGGCGGGAGCGGACAGGTCCTCACACAAAACCCAGTCACAGCTGTGCACCCTGTGACTTCAGAGCTGCTCCCCTCAACCACCTCAGGCTGACACACAGGAAAAGGACTGGAAAGGTGGACTACTTTGCGAACAAGCACACGCCACCGCAGAGAAGTGACACGGCTCCTCCCTGGTGCACAGGGCAGAAAGGGCAGGAAGTGCAGGCAGCTGTGCCGCGGCGTCCAGGAGCCACACTGCTCCAACCTCTTCACTTTCCGGCCACCGGCACTCGCTCCAGATCTTACTTCAACAATTGATGCAGTAACAGGACCACAGGGCTGGGCCGCAGCATGTGAGCGCCATCACCAGGAGCAGGCCTGCTCCCCAGGCTCCCGTGGCCCCATCTTCCCTCACACTAACTGGACTGGCCTGGACAGCGCCACGGGACCATGGGCCTGCGCCCGCGTCACCTGCTGACCCTCCTCCCATTCCTACCTCCCAGGGCCCTCCAGAGCCCAGTCTGACAGGGTAGGAGGCACGGACACGGGGTGGTGCAGCCCCTGCCCCCAGAGTCACAGTCTGAAATGGCAGGGCTGGGACTCAAACACGGGCAGTTTGGCTCTAGAGGAGGTGGTGGCCACCATGTTCAGTGTTGTCCCCGCTCTGTCTGGAGCCCCTCCCACTGTGCCCAGCACTGTACCCCTCCAGGTCATGATTCAGATTGCTCACGGGCAGGGCCCCCTGTGGTACTTCTTAACAGTGTCCTGCCACGTTCCAAGACAATCTTTTAGTGACAGCAAGCAGCTGTGTTAGGACTCTTCACAGAGCAGATACACCCCAGGCCTTGCCCAGGAGACCGGAGCAAGCCCGGGAGACTCCTTGGAGGCCGCAGACCACAGAGGCGGCGGCACGCTGTGGCATTTAGCTTTCAGGTGGCCCGGGCAGGGACAGATCACTTGTAGATGAGAAGCCTGTCTCTTCCCGGAACCGGAGTTCACTGGTGCTGGAGGGCAGAGAGCTCTGTGGAGGGAAAGCACCTGACTCCCACCCTCCCGGGCACCCTGGCACTTGGTAGGTGCACGACGAGCTCTGCTCGCCCCAAGACCATGTGCAGGGCAGGGTTCAGACACAGGGAAACGCGTCATTGGGTCAGGGAGAAGCAGCCCAACTAGCAAGTGTCCGAGGTGCCCGGGTGCAGGTGGTCTTACCGCAAGGTTCTCCAGCTCCAACTGTCGCACTGTGTAGTAGGACTTGATGTCTTCGGAGATCAGCGTCAATTTCAAATTTGTGTCATCAAAGATCATCTCCTTTTCTTCTTTCTGCGGCCAGTACTGTGCACATTTTAACTATGGAAGGAAATAACGCTGAATTATTGTGAGCAACCAACTGTTTTCCCAAGACAAGAGGCTTGGAGACCATTCCTGAGCTTTACGACAATGTAAAGGCCTAGAATTTTCTGAGCCTGGAAGACACGGTCAGCGCAGCAGCCTGTTTCTTGGGATTGGAGGAGCACTAGAGAGTGATGGGGTGGCCATGCGGACGGGGCGCAGCCTCACCACCCAGCAGCTCTGGGTCTCTGTAGCAAGGGGGTGCTCAGGGGTCTGACCCTTGCCCACCAGCTGTTCTGCCTCCTGCAAGGGCCTGAATGCAGCCAAACCTGACCCAGCTGCTGGTAGATGCCTCAGCCCAAAGGAAACCTCACAGGAACTGAAAATGAGCCCCGAGGGACGCGAGTAGGCCCTGGAAAGGCTGAGCCACACAGGATGCACCGACCCAGAGAGGGAAGAGGGACGTGGACGGTCCTGTTCCGCTGAGGCTGGGAGCTCCCACAAACAAGACCAAAGCAAAGGCGAGAGACACCCGTGAGACTGTCACCAACTGGGCTTTCTCCAGAGTCTCCAGAGCCCGTCGTAAAGCTTGGGCCAGTCTCACCCACGTCACCCAGTCACCAGTGATGAGCTGCTGGAGATGAGACGAGACCCTGGACGGGGCTGGGTGTCAGCACCACGGCAATTCTGCCACACGGGACGTGGGCACGGGCCAGGAGGCGAGAGCCCGTGGAGCCCAAGAGCCAGAGGCGCGGGGAACAAGACCTCCGCAGGCCTGGCCAGGACGCGTTCCCTGCCACACCCTGACAGCTGGACCCCAGGAACAGTCTGACCTGGTGGTTCAAGGCCACCTGTGCTGGCGTGGGCTCCCACCACCACGAGCAGGGAGAGGAGGAAGCAGAGGGCAGCGAGCGCCCACTGACCCTCAGCTCGTCGGCTGGGCAGACAAGTTTTCCATGTCACCTCCATTTGGCAAGCACTCACTTTCAGAACTAAAAATAAAGCTTAATAAATCTTTATAATCTGGGCAAAAACTAAGATTACAGAGGATTTCTGGCACATGACCAAGCATCCGTCAACCAATATTTAATTTTAAGAACTCTTCAGGCTTCTATAGGAACATCTCTGTTGTTTTCTATAGAAGTTTTTAAACACACAAAATAAGCACCGATCACTACGGCAGATACCCTATTAAACACACCAACTTGAATGGGAGACTGACTTTTATGAGAAAATAGTTCGTCACTGGGGACTCAAAACTGAGGCCTAGCTGGGCACGGTGGCACACACCTGTAATCCCAGTAGTTCAGGAGGATCGCAAGTTCAAAGCCAGCCTCAGCAACTTAGCAAGGCTCTAAGCACTTCAGCAAGACTTTGTCTCTAAATAAAGTATAAAAAAAGGGCTGGGATGTGGCTCAGTGGTTAAGTGTCCCTGGGTTCAATCCATGGTACCAAATCCAACCAAACCAAACTGAGGCCTATCTTGGTTGGCACCAGACAGAAAAATGGTGGCATTGCGAGTAGCTGCTATTTCCACCATGAAGGCAGGTGTCAGTGAGGGTCCTCAGGCCTTCCTAAACAAGGGGCCAAGCCGTCGTAGGAACCACCTCTAGGAGCCAGTCCTGGACCCTGAGATGAGTGACGTGGTTTTCCCGAACATGAACAGAGAGCTGGTGCACAGAGCAGGAGGTGCATGGGCACAGGCCACACGACAAGATGCAGATTCGTGTGCGTAGAAGCCCGGAGCCCAACCGTGGCTCCACAGGGTTTGGGAGAGAGACAGGCCAAGTTCTGGAAGGGCGAGAGAGACTCATGGAGCTCACTCCATGTTGCTCTGAATGAGCAGCAAGCCAGCCCTCACACAGGCTCGCTCCATGTTGACGTGTCTAAAGTCAATTTTAAAATTGAACCAACAAGCACTTTGGCCATGTGCGTGACCCCCGTCCAACACACACAATTATCTTCTGCAAAACTGGCTTCCAGGAATGCGAGGTCCCAGGAGGTCACAGTCAGGTCTGCCAACAGTAAGAGGGGAATTTCCTGGGCTTTTGGTGAAAGAAGGAAAGCAGAAAGCAGATGGAAACTCTCTGTAAGCGAGTCACAGCACGAGCAGCGTGGACGGGGACGGCCAGGTGAGAGCCATCCAGACCAAGCGGCTTCTCGGCAAGCCCCGACCCCAGCCAACCCTTGTGGAGTGATCCTGTTGATGCAGAACTGAAGATGTTGATCCCCAAGAAACATGCAGCGGTTTCTGTGCCAGTCTGCATGCCTGAATAACCAGCCTGGACCGGACACTTTCAGCAGACAAGGAGGAGCACTGCTACCTGTTCACAGAGAACCACCTCAGGCCACCAGCCACGGTTCTGACGGCCAATAGTACTATATCTCAAGGGGGAACGACTTTGCAGTGATGTGTGGTCTATTTATGGTCATTGCTGGGGAGGAAACAACAAGGCCCAGTGACGAGCATGTAACTATGGCACCCGACCCAGCTCCGTGTTGTAATATGACAACAGTTGCTAAAGCAAACTGTGAACTAATAGCAAAGAGGTTTTCCTGGAAATGAAAGCAACATTCAAATCAATCAATGAAAGGAAAATCCGATATTTTTGAATGAATATCTTGACTTTAAAAACCCCAACCCCCAGTATCACCCAGAGCAGTTCTAGCCAGCAGCAATCCTGCCCCCGAGGGACCCCGACAGCCAAGCCTGAGTGCCACATTTGGGAGATGGATGCTACTAGCACCTAGTGGGCGGGGCCAGAAAAGCTGCTGATCATCCTAAAACACACAGGTCAGCTCATTCCAGCAGAGAATGGCCAGCCCAATGTCACTTGTGCTGAGAGGTTCCAAAGCTCTGGGTTCAATCCCTGGCGGCTCCCCAGCAGAGCGCGCCCTGGGAACCTAGAGCTTGGTGTCCGGCACTGCTGACAGGAGTGCAGAGGACAGGGCTGGAACCTCACCTGTAGTAATCAGGCCACAGAAGCAGAAAGGGAAGAGTGAAAAGCCACTTTCACCAAAAAAGCAGTCCTACGGGGAGAGGCGCAGGATGGTCTGAACCGCGGGCTGGCCGCCTCTGGCACTGCGCAGACACTGAGCCTGCGTGACTCTCAAGGGGGTCGCAGTGAACTCAGGTGAGGCCGCAGCGACTCCAGCCCAGGGCCTGTCTCTCAGGAGCTGCCGGGCTGCTTCCTCAGCAGGAGACGGTGGCGCTGTGGCTGGTGCCAGGCACATGCTGCCCACTCCGTCTCTGATGCACGTCTTCTGTGCACTGAATTTTTACTCTTTGGAACATGACTGTGCTTTCTTTGCAGGGTGGCTTCTCTGTCCAAGGCGGCCAGGACAGCTATGAGATCACCCAGCTGACCCCCAGGAGCACAGTGCCAGGCCGGGCAAGGCCCAGGGATACCCAGTTCTCTGGTTCCAGGCTGCACATCCCCACGATCCTCAGCTCATCTTCTCCGAGGGCTTCAACTTGACTCTGAAGCTGGGAAGCCCCAGAAGAGCTGGCAGAGCCAGGGAGGGGCGGGCGTGGGGAGCAGGAGCCTGTGGCCCTGCTGAATGCCAGTCTTGGCCCTGCCTACGAAGCCACTCCTACAACAGAGAGACTTGAGGGGAAGTTACAGTACAGTTACCAGGTGACCTGGGGCAGCAACCTGAGGATACCTGGACATGGGGTGAGGGTGGCGCTGTGATTCAGACCCTTGGATCAAAGAACAGAGTTAAGAAACTGAAAGAGAAAATTTGTCTTGGCAGGAGTCTGGAGAGTGGGGACAGTGAGGTAAGCAGGCCTGAGTGCAGGGCTCTGTAAGTCGCCACGTGCCTCCTGTGAGCAAGGAGAAACAGAGGGGTTTCAGCTGGGAAAAGGGGTGGTGAGCCTGAGGGAGGAAGAACATTCTGGAAGCATGGTACAGAATGGACTGAGGCAGCAGCTGAAGCAGGGGTGGCTGAGGGACAGACGTGGGAGGGGCAGGGCTTTAACCGGGGCACAGAACCCACGATGGCAGAGTGTGGCGTGGACACACCAGCAGACACCGATGCAGCGGGCGGCTCCGTGCTGGGCCTCTGGGCGTTTCTGGGCAACAAATCTAACCTCGAGGCCAGCGGCCTCCAGGGCTCCGCAGCCACCTCTGCATGTCCACAGGAGGCTCTCTGACCAGCCGGGAGGCAGGCTCCATGAACACGCACCGAAAGCTGCTTGTCAAGAACGGCGGCGCTCACCCGGCTCCACAGCAGGGGACGAGGAGCCCCGCATGGAGCGAGCAGCCCACCAGCGGGGACCAGCCACGGCAGGCTGGCTCCTCTCCCTCTCCGTTCAGGAAACTGATTGCTTACAACAAATGGGTCTTTATATGTCGCTTCTATGATTTTTTTAAATGACAAATATGCTATGCAAAGGAACTACAAACGTAATTTAAAGTAAAAATAAATCAGGACCAACGGACCGTGACATCAAGAGGAAGCAGCGTGCGACTTACCGAGCCCTTCTCCATTACGCGGTTGAGCATGACCACACCCCTGCTCTTCTGTTCCCACACCATCTCCCAGAAGTGCCCACACGTATTAGGCAAAGGACCCTGCAAGCACACAAGACCAGACACGGTGACGCGGGGACACCACAGCATGGGCTTACCTGTGACAGTCAGCAGTCGGGGGCACCCTCAGGTCTCCCAGCCCAGGCAGAATGGAGGCTAAGGCAGGAACAGGACTGCCCTCCTAGCCTGGTGGGCAGCTGTCACAGGCCTGTGTCAACCTCAGTGGCGCACCCCAATACAGGCTGCCAACGGGCTTCCTGGCTTGGGCTGGCTGAGGGGCTCCCGGGCTCCTCGCCAAGGGCAGGTGGGACGTGGGACAAAACTCTCGAGGCAGTGAGAGGCAGCAAAAGTGTGACCAACTGTGACTCTTCCAATCGTTTATCACCTTGTGACCTCAGGCAGGTGCCTCCGTCCCCCTCTATCTCCCTTGAGTGTAAACAGCTCCTCGTCCCAGGGCATGTTCACAGCCACCAAGGACTGAGCCCACGCTCGGGGGCACCCAGCAGAGGGAAGCCCCACTCCTACCATCACCCAGACCTGACCACACTCGGCCTTCACTCCTGGACCAAGGAACACAGGAATGTGGATACCCAGATGGTCATGCAGGTGGGCACAGGGACGCCTGCGGAGCAGCTGGCCTATTTGGCTACAGCCCGCCGCCCAGTTGGCACCAGTGTTCCAGGATGCAGCATTGCCTGGGAGGACCGTCACCAGCGCCACCCACCAGGGCAAGCTGCTCCCTGGGGCCAGCACCGTCTCTCCAAGAGTGCTCTGCCCACCCGCTGGAGTCCCCGCAGCTGCCTGACTCCTCCGCCCGCCCTCTCTTCTGCAGCGGCCTGCCCTCAACAAGTCCCTCCTTCCCCAGCTCAGCTCTGGCCAGCACAGGCCTTCACACAGGCCACCCTCCCCCAGCTAACAAACGCAGCTCCTGCAAGCACAGCCCTGGCTGGCCACCCTCTCATGCCCTGAGTCTGGCTTGGGGAAGGTCCCAGCCACACTGTCTGGGAGGGCCACTGTGCGGGAGGCTGTTTTGATTCCTTCTGAAAACCCCAGGGCAAGGGGACGCGTGAGCAGCTCACCGACATCAGTGGGCCCACCAACAGGACTGGCGGAATGTCACGGGTTCCAACAACTGCGAGGGCAGGGGGTGGGGGGACAGCACGAGAAACCCTTCAGTGCTCAAGCTGACCCTACACGCCCTAGAATGGGGGACTAAAGTGCTTCCTGACCTCAGCAAGGAGACCTCTCACAGGAGAAGCCCTGGAGAGGTCCTGGGCCTCAACCCCGGCCCCCAGCAGGCAGGCCCCACCGTCCCAGGGCCCTGTTCCCAGAAGCCCAGCTCGACACCCAGAGGTGTGGGAGGAGCAGGGGCTGGCGCCTGGGGGCGGCTGGTGCATAAGCCAGGAACTCACTCCACGCCCTGCGGCCGCGCTGGCCAAGCTGAAGGACCCCACGCTGACTGGGAGGCATGGGTCACGGGTGGGGAGGAACAGGTGGGACAAGAAGGGAGCGAGAAGGGCCAGTGACACATACGCCCTGGCCCAGGTCCCTGTCCAAAGCAGCCTTTGTTCCCAAGGCTTCCGGCTTTGCCAGCACTTCCATTTTTACACAGCAAGCAGAAGGTGCTCCATCATCCCACAGAAGCCCGACAAGCGAGAAGTGACCATCAGGAGAAAAATCAATGGGGAACTTCAGACTCTTTAGGCCAGCCTCAGGTAACATGGCAATACGGAGAACAGCGAATAACTTCATTAGTTGATTAATCAGTAAGAATAAAGAGTCGGCTTTACCCGGTCTAGATACTTGTGGTCTTGGGGTCACAAACCACCAAGTGTTTACGAGGCGCGGTTAATCTTTAAACCACCGCGCTCTTCTCCCATGAAGACGCCAAAAGCTGGTGGGGGTTTTCAGTGACTATTCACGTCTGTCCCTGTTCTCTAATGACACTTTTCTCGGGGCCAAAAGAGGGGCCATGGTGAGGAGTTCCGCATGGCTCTTGGGACAGAGGTGACTAGCCTCCTGCCACCCTCTTGCAGAGGTGCTTGGCGCTGAGGTGAGTCCTCGAGAATCAGCACGGTACAGGCCCTTCCAGGCCGTGCGCCATTGCCCGTCCCCAGGCTGCTGCCAACCTACGGCCGCTTCTCTGTGCCTTCCGGAACAGAGCAGGGTCACAACAGGCTGAATCTTCACAGGAGGATGTTTTTCCTATTTTGCTCGTTGGTTTATTAAACACCTGAACTTCTAGACAACATGGCAGGCTTTGTTTAGGCACAAACTCTTTTAAGTTAAGGTTAAAAAAATCCCAGACAACCTGTTTACCTGGGTGAGAATGTAACTCCTCTGGGCTTCCTCCATTGTTATCAAACTAGCGTTGATGTAGTCGTTCTCCTCCTGGTGCAGCTTGATCCGACTGTGGTCAACTGAAAGGCAAACAGAACCCAGTCCATCTGGGGGTGAGATGTCCACACAGCCGTGCACCCCACAGCAGAGAGGGGAGCCCAGGGCTGGCGGGTGCTGCCTGCCGTCTGTGTGGGCGACTGGCATCTGCAAAAGGCTTCTCTGAGCGTCTGCAGCTCCGAGGGAGCAGTGACGGGCCACACGAGGCCCTGCACAGGCCCCAGCCCAGGGTCTGCTCTAGTCCTCCCTCCTGTGACAGCATCACACTCCCCAAACCTGGAGGGCCACACTGGGCCACCAAAGGAGCCATTTTCTAATGCTTAACAAACTTCTACAGGGTAAAAAACACAGCAGCTTTAATCTTTTTTTTTTTTTAATAGATGGACATGATACCTTTGTTTTCTTTATTTATTTTCTGTGGTGCTGAAGATCAAACCCAGGGCCTCGCACGTGCCAGACAGTGCTCAGCCCCAGCCCCAGCCCCAGCCCCTCGTGGCTTTAATCTTTGAAAGGGAACAAAATTTACCAAAAAATCCCACGCAGCCCTCCCAGCTGTCGCCGGCACAGTGAGCGACAGCAGCAGGAAGGCTGTGACCGCGCCTCCACCCAACTGTGTCCACAGGCATGAGACTTGATGGCCCGTCACCCAGCGCCATGGAGGCATACCTGGGATTCTTTTATCTAAGTTTTTTTTTTTTTTTTTTTAAGTTCAAGTATAATTAACTTAAACAATTCAGGCCTTTCAAATGTCATCATCAAAGACTTTAAAAAGAGAATTTGGCTGGAAAAAAAACTCCAAACCCAAAACACTACCAATATAGAAATGTAACTTTTAGATTAGTTTTTAAAAATAAACTCATTTGGAATTTCTACCCCAGGTTATTGGAAACCAACGCCACTTTCTTTCATCATGATTGTCACGAGAGCAGCGCCACCCTGAGGGCCACTCTCCTTATCATGCTGGTCCACGGGAGCAGGTGGGTACTTGCATTCCTGGCACAGCATAAGGGACAATGAACCCAGGTGACCACCCCTAAATAGCACATTCTCTCTGAGGCCAACAGGAGACGCAGAATTACAGGGAGGGTGAGTGGCTTGTGGCTTTTGTTCTGAGAAGGGCTCCCGAGAGAGGGGAGCCTGAGCCCTGGCCACCGCTGGACCACGAGGGCGAGGGCTGGTACAAACTGCGACACTTGGGTAATTCTCAGTGGATCATGGAAATAAAAGATCTCAAAACCAATCGTGTGACTGGCACTCCTGGGCTGGTGGACTCAGACCACACCAGGTGGCCCTGGGTGACAACTGGTCCCCTGGGCCTTGTATTCTCACTTGCCAAGTGCAAGGCTAACAAGAGTACTTCGGGAAGAGGTGACCAGGGCATGTGAGTGCAGAGCTGAGCTCAGCTGCTGGTGCAGAAGAGTGCTCTTGACACTATCAGCATCTTGAGCCAGGTGGCAGGTCCCCTTCCACCTGGACTCATGCCCCCTTTCCCCCTAATGTGAACAGCAAATTACTTTTTCTACTGGAAGGTGAGGTGGGGGAGGAAAGGAGGACAGGAGGAATGAGGTTGGGTGAAAAAGTTCAGGAATTACCTCCCAGGAAGAATATGTTAAATATTGGAAACTGGTTCTTAAACCATTTAGATAAGAGGTAAAAATGTAGCCAATGAATATCACAGACAACATCGCTCCCTGGTTCAGAGCAAGTACGGCAAAAGCTAGCGACCCAGGGGAACCTGGCACCAAAGGAAAGAGGTGAACCCTCACTGTGCCGTCCACTCAACCAGCTCTCCAGAAGTTTCTGAGCAGGGCTTCACAGCGGCATCAACAAGGTTTTTTGTTCTTATTCATTTTTTTTTTTTAAATAAATACTTATGCAGTGCCTGGGTCTAGACATGCTAAAACAAGAGCATCCGGTGCTCGGGTACCACCGTGGCACCTGAGGACCCAGGACTGCACTTCAGATGTCCTGGTGGCGGCGGTCTCCGCCTCGGCTGATATTTACCAAGTGCTTTCTACGCCTGAGCAGGCCCTGGGCTAAGCGGCCAGTGCGTTTCATCCCATCGTCACACACTCCCACAGGTAAGGGTGACCCCTGTCTTACTGGCAGTCAGAGAAGAAAGCCAGCTGCCGGAGCCACACAGTCCTCGGTGGCAGAGTGAGATGCAAAGCCAGCAGGGGACCGTGCAGTGGCCAGGAGGCACGTGCTCCTCACCAATTCTAGGTCCCGGAACCTGAGCGCTGCCGAGACCCCGGCAGCCATCACCCTTCTGAGCCCCCTCCAGGGTCTGCAGACCCCGTGCAGGGTGACGGCTGCCGAGGTCAGCAAACAGTTCAAAGCACTTTTTTTTAGTTTGACTGTCTCCTCTAGGCCCAGGTCTTGAAATCAGCTCTGGTTTTCCTTGTTTTGCACAAATTCTAACAAGTTCAGTTATTTATTTTCAAGATATTGGCATCCTGGGTGCCAGTCGCTCAGAGGCAGGAGGGTGCCGAGGCCAGCAGGCGCACCCACACTGTACGAGGGAGCAGCAGTGGTGGCAGAGACGTGGCAGGGCTGGAGGGGTGCGATGCACAATTAGAGGCGGATCCACAGCCCCCACCCGACTGCCTGTGTGGGGCACTCCTGTGGTTCAACATGAGGCTGGGCTAATAATACTGCTGCTGAGTCACCAGAAAGGTTCCATTAGGCCTGCTCCGCTCTGCTTCAGCTGGTAGGAAAATGATTCATTACAAAACAGTCAAGCTAAAAAAAAGTGCTTTGAACTGTTTGCTGAATTTTCCAGAAACTGAAACCTTCCCTCTACAATGCTGGAAAAATGAACCATTACTATAAGTCTCCAATGTCCCTATTACAGCAAACAATCAAGTCTACAATCGATATATTGCAAGCCTCGGGGCGAACAGCAAGCTGACCCACAGGCCCTGCAGGAGGAGGGGAAGCGGCCTGCGGGTGGATACTTACAGGGACTGACATCTCGGTACCTGTTTCGGTTTTTGTTCTTAGGAAGCTTCGCCACTCTACAGGGGAAGTCACTGGCTTCATGTCGGATGTCCTACAAAAAAGGATAAAGAGCTCTCTTGAAATCTTTGGCACTGTGCATCCACCAGGACATCTACCTGCGGCCGGCGTGCCAGGCACAGACACTGCAGAGGGCCAGGCTGTGTGGGAAGGGCGGGGTGATAGCTCAGAGATGTGTTCAAGGTTCCAGGAGGAAAACAGGAGGACCGAGCCCAGGTCTGGGGTGGGAGGCAGTGACTTGGCTGGGAGCCACAGATGAGGATGATGAGGACGGAGGCAGAGACAGAGGTGGGGGGCGTTCACTTCACTCAGGAACACCCAGCGGGCAAAGGCTGCGGCGTCATCCTGTGCCAGGAACAGCGAGTGGGCAGTGGGAGGAACAACAGACGCTGGAGGACACGGTGGGCAGGCAGATCTCCAGGAGCGTGGAACGCCAGGCCTCAAGTTCCAACGGAGCCTTTCCCAAAAGGACACGCACGCCAGCCAAATCCCTGCTCTCCCACTAAGGGGGGAGCCGCCTCCCTCCAGGATCCAAGAGACCCTCCTGGCCCTGCTCCAGGACGACACAGGCCACCCCGTTCCCTGCTCGTGCTCCCCCAAGCGCACGGCCATCCATCACAGGTGCGTCTGTTCTAGAACTGCCCAGAACCCCACACAGCCTGGCTGCGCTCACGGCCTCTCGCCTGTACCTGCAAAGACGGTTAAAGCGGTAGACTCTAAATTTTGTAGGTTTTACCACAATTCAAAAAAAAAAGAAAGACAAACCCACAGTGGACAGCAGCCAGTGAGACAATGGTGACAGGATTCTGGAAGCTGAAGTCAGGCTGTTAGGAGCGCCACTACCTGGGAGAGCCACCGACACATCAGCAGCCGGGCAGCCGGGGCTGTCCCCAGTCTGTTTTCTGGAAAACGTAAACTGGAGCTGAACTGGCACAGTGAAGGGGGAGATGCCCCGCCCAAGCCAGGGGGTGAGGGACACCCTGCAAGCTGCACACCGGAACTGTCCTTCCCTCAAAAAACAGCTGCACACCGCTGGCGGCCCCTCCCCTCCAGGCCAGAGGCTGGGACCAGATCCCCCCACAGCTGTGCAAGCCCAGGCCTGTGACCGCGCCACCTGCTGGGGCTCCCCATCTACCCGTACTCCCTCACACGCAGACAACACTGACGACAAGATGTGACAGGACAGTTTCTAAGAAAAAGGCAAAAACCAGGAAAAAAGCCCCTCGGATGAAACAAACTGCGTGACCAAGGGCGGGGCGGGGCGGGGCTGGGTTCCAGCCTCAGCACCACGTGGACATAAAGGCTTTCTGCCCCTTTACAACTACAAAACAATTTTAGAATATGTTACCAATATGGTCAGAACGATAAGAAAAGACCTATCTATAAATTAAGAACAGAATATTATAGAAACAAAATTTTCTCTTGGAATTAGAAACAAAATAACAAAATTGGTAAGTTCAGCTGAAGGCTCAGATAGAAGTAAAGAAAACACCTCTAAAAAGTAAAGCCAAAAACAAATCCTAGCATGCATGGCACCCTGAGTTTGATTCCTAGCCCCACAAACAAATCCATAAAATAAACAAACCAAAGTGAAACTATAAGCATCAGAAAAATTTTGAAGGCAATTTCCCAGATTATCAAGTACTCATCACAAAGACAAAACAGACCCATCCTAAGGCACATTAATGAGCAACTCCAGGACACTCAGTGTTTCTGAGGAGAAAACAGCTCACTTTCAAAGGAGAAGGTGACCAGCATGGCTGTGGACTGGCACACGCACGCAGAGCTGCCAGGAATGCCCGATGCCTTCCAGATTCTGAAGGAAACCGAGCTCCCACCTAGAAATGCACCCCCAGCCCCACAGTCCACAAATGGGAAGGGACAACAAAATCACTCCCGACCCCTGCGTGTCTGCACGTCACCACCCACGCTCCTTCTCAGCACGTCCTTGCACCTGGGTGAAGATAGACAGACGGACACAGAAAACCGTCCAACCTAAGCACAGAGGCAAAGGAATTTCCACCCAACTCTGGAAATGGAGTTTCCTGCCAGTCTGACTCAGAGACAGTGGTGTCGGCACCATCGTGACTGCCCCTAGCGAAACTACTAGAAGGACACAAGAAGATACGAAATTCAGGAAAAGGGGACTTTGGTGGAGAAAGCAAAGGAAGTCTTAAGATGACAGCTATGGGTAGCAGGTCCACAGACCAGACAGATGGATGCAGCCTCCAAAAGGAAGTCTCATGAAAACCCTGCAACAGAAAGCACAGAACCACTCTGTCCAGCACGGCAGCCGCTAGCCACACGGGCCAGTCTGCACAGAGAGGTTCTGTGAATGCGAATTTCACTTTAGCATCTGAAGACTTAAAAAAAGCACAAAAAAACGGGGCTGGGATTGTGGCTCTGCGGTAGAGCACTCCCCTAGCATGGGCGGGACCCAGGTTCGATTCTCAGCACCACATAAAAAAATAAAGGCATTGTGTTAAAAAAAAAAAGCACAATGAGTAAAAGCATCTCAGATATTTTAAATACTGATATTGATATTCGCAGAAATAATTTGGTAAAATTTGTTTAAGAAAAACATACACTTAACTCCACCTGGAAAATTATTCCGAGATGCCATGAGAAGGTAGGGAACAATTAGTACAGGTACCAGGAAACCACGCAAAGAAAAGAGCAGCTATTAACAGAAAATCCCCAAACAGAAACAGCATGGTACAGCGATATCTGAGCCTGCTTGTGTCCCCAAACCAGGCACACAACAAACATTGACTGAATCAAGAAGAGTCCTGGGAGGAGTGGGGGGGAGAGTGGGGGGGAGAGTGGGGGAGGAGAGCAGATGGGGGGAGGGGGAGGGTGGAGCAGAGCAGAAGGGGGAGGGGGACAGCAGGGGGGAGGGGGAGAGTAGGGGAGGAGAGCAGGGGAGAGGGGGGAGGGGAAGGGGAAAGGAGAGCATGGGGGGGGAAGGAGAGCAGGGGAGAGAGAAGAGGGGAGAGCAGGGTGGGGGAGGAGAGCAGGGGGGAGAAAGGGATAAACAAAAGGGAAGGCTGGGGAAGAAAATGAAATCCAGGACTTCACAGGCGTCTTAATGAAAGAATCAAAAGGTAAGCAGTCCATCTAAAACTGGGGCACAAACAAGCTGGAATCAGCACCTGCAGGAGTTGAAAGTTGCTCCCTGTGGGGAGAGACTCGCCTGTGGAGGGGCACAGCAAACCGTGGGACCTCACTGCCAGCTCCTGGGACTGTTGCAGGCTGGACCGTGGGCACATTCTACTTGGATTAAGGGAAGGGAAAAAAACTTGGGAGCACAGGCCTGTAACCCAGGTACTTGAGAGACTGAGGGAAGAGAATCACAAGTTCAAGACCAGCCTGGGCAACTCAGTCCCCGTCAAAAAAAATAATAATAATAACGATAATTAGTTGATTAATTTAAAGAGCTAGGGGTGTAACTCAGTGGCTAAGCACCCCTGCTCAAACTCCAATACCAGGAAAGAGTGCTCATGTTCTGCTTCTCTATTTATTTATTTATTTATTTATATTTATTTTTTAGCTTTAGGTGCACACAACATCTTTATTTTATTTTTATATGGTGCTGAGGATTGAACCCGGGCCGCACCCATGCCAGGTGAGCACCCTACCGCTTGAGCCACATCCCCAGCCCCAATATTTATTTACAAAACTATGAAAAGGCTGGAGGAGATTCTGACTCAGGAGGGACCAGCTAATGACCTCAATGCCTGGTGACAGATGTGAGCCCACCTGAGAACAAAGAAACGGACCCAGTTCCAACACGTCCATCCCCGTCATTTGTGGAAGAAGCTAAGCTTGTGGGGAAATGCTATCTGCAGAGCCCCAAAATAAACCAAAGGGATAAAAACCCAAGTCTTCAGTTTGTTTTCTACCTGTAATTGTAACTGGAAGCCTTTAGCAATAGGGAGGAATTCTTGCGGTGAAATGGCCACATGGAAATGGAAGAAGCACTCACTGCGAGAAAAGAGGGGCCCAGAGTCTGTCAGAGGTCAGGCAAGTGCTAACTTAGAACTCAAGCAGGGAAGGGGTGGCAAGGTGGGCGGACTGCTTGAGCACGGTGGTCACAGAGACACCAAGCAGACACAACAGTGTGGGAGGGACATGGTGGAGGCAGGAGAGAGCCGGGTGCTGGGGACGGGGTGCAGGCAGGAAAGCTTGGCCAGTGTGAGGGGCGCGGAAGCCCTGGAGGCAGGCTGAGCGGAGGGAGCACGCCCAGCAGCGATTCTAAGCATTTTGACTTTTATTTAGAGCCACCAAAGGAAGTCATGGAGGATTTCTGCGCACAGCAATGACAGCATCCCTGTTGGCTGCTATTTGAGAAGAGACTGCAGGGGTCGAGGCAGAAGGGAAGACCTGGTCAGGAGGCTGTCGTAACCACCCAGGCAAAAAACGATGGTAGCCTGAAGCTCGGCGATGCTATCAGAGGTGGTGAGAAGGGGACAGTTCCTGCATGACTTATTAGGAATCACTCTTGGGTGACTCGCTCTCACGGCCCTCTACTTTAGAGCGGCACGGGGGAAAATCATGCATGCTCTGAGTGCAAGTATGACTTTGTTTAGTAAGATAAAATGCCATGGTTGGGGTCTCAGGACAGGATGCAACACACCTGGCCAGTCCCAGGTAGACCTCGGTGGTCTGGAGTGGACTGCCCACTGGGAAGCTTCCAGATTTACAGCAAAACAAGGCTTCCGTGTTCTAGAACTCTACTGAAGGCAGCTAAGCTTCCAGCGGCTGTGGAAAAGGCAGATTCCCGACTGGTGAAAAAGGCACCAGATTTGCATCCCAAGTATACAGTACCCCTAGAAGTGTTTTCTATTATGTCCACCCACGATCAAATAAATACTCCTAATCCACCAAGTGTCCAAAATCTTCATAAAGAAAACAAAATAAAGGCCCTAAAAGTGATGGGAAGATGAGTGCTGGGTAAATGCAGTGGCCAAACCCAAAATGAAATATCAAACCTGCCGTGGAGCCGGTTTCCACAGTGTCCCCGAACCAGACTGA